GACCGCACGTGGCAGTCAAGGTATATGAACTCCTCAAGAAATTGCTCCACAACAATATGATTGAACATTCCGAATCGCAGTGGGCATCTCCGATCGTGATCGTGCTCAAGAAAAATGGAGTGGACATCAGGATGTGTATTGACTATCGACTTGTGAATAATTTCATCCAGCTGTCTAGCTACCCTCTACCTCTCATCGACGACCTGCTAGTTGGCTTTGAGAAAGCACTGTGATTCATGAGCCTGGATATGGCCAGCGGCAATCAAGATGACTGAAAGAGCCAAGTTGATTTCCCCTTTCGTATGTCCGTTCGGACATTTTCAGTGGATTCGAATGCCATTCGGTGTGTAAAACACACCCCTGATTTACCAGCAAGTGATCAACAACTGCTTGTGGGGATTCGTGCGTCTGCCACCTGAAGAGGAGGCGGAAGTAGACCAAGAAGTTTTGGATTACCTGAATCTTGACCCCCAGGACGATGAACCTCCAGGGTGTGACACTCCCGGATGTACCGGTTGTGAAGACAATCATACTTCTCGGTCCTTACCGACCCTGGCATACCAAATGGCAGTGTTCAAGAGGAACATCCCCGCTCCAACCCAGATGTCACCTGTCTTAGGACGCAGCTCGTATATCGATGATATCGCACATGGTGCACCAACTTGGGATGCATTGTGCGCTGAGTTGGATGCGTTGCTATATAGGCTGCGGTATTGAAATATCTCAGTGAGTCTGCCAAAGAGCGAGTTCGGGAAACTGTCCATTCCGTATTTGTCGCATGAAATTAGCGCTGAAGGGATCAGGGCAACACCAAAGATTGCCAAGGGGATTCAGGATCTACCGTTCCCGACTACAATGAAAGGAGTGCAATCCTTCTTGGGCAGCCTGAACTACAATCATAAATTCATTGAAGACTATCCTGTGATTGCAGCCTCCCTGTATGAACTATCGGATGACCAAGAACGTTGAGGGCGAGATCTATCCAGGGCAAAGGAGGCGTTTGAAATCCTAAAGCACAAGATCATGTAGACCCCAGTATTAAGGCACCCTGACAGGACCAAACCGTTCGTCATTATACCCCATGCAAACCAATGGGCTGCCTGTGCAGTCCTGGGTCAAGAACATGACGGTTTGATCCAGCCAGTGCGTTTTACTGGGCATGTTCTCCACGATGCGGAGTGATATATCACATTGCAGAAAAAGAGGTCATTACCGTGCTGAGGGTACTGCAGGTGTTCAGAACACCCATCCAAGCTTGTCCTCTCATCGTGTACACTAGACATTCGGTTCTAAAGTGGATCATGAAATCCAAGACGGCAGATGGGAGATGCGTACCCTGGAGCGTTTTACTTTCGCAGTGGAATCTGGATGTCAGGAAGATTCAGCGAGACGAAGATGAACTAGCTGCCATCCTGGGCGCCGGCATCACACCTCGAGAACATTTAGACGACGTCGCCGAGGAGCTCATTCCTGCCAAGGGGCGTGCGAAACCGCCACC